CTATTTCCTGATGTCCTAATTGATTACTGTCAGGTGAAATGCAACTGCAATTTTTTGTTTTCCCTTCAGTATTTGACTACATTCAACTGTATTTCACATATTACAGCACAATTCAATCGAAATAATTCTTTTTTTAAAATGTCTTCATCTCCCACTTTGATATGGAAAAAGATACATTGATCAATCTAGAGTAATAGTTTTCCCAAATTCTCTTTTTCAGGGCAAAAATACTTACATTTTGATTTTAAAGGCAGGAAAGTAATTGAGATAGTAAACTGATGCCTGAGTTATTCCTTTAGCTTGAAAATTGATTAGAGAATATTCTGCTCTATGTAAGATATTAACATCTGAAGAAAAAGGCTAGTCTGAATCTCATGTTCTTGATGTGTCATTTCTCCTCTCAGTGCAGATTTTTTTTTTTTATATGGTGGAACATTGACTTGATTGAGTCCCTGCTTACAAATAAAAGTGAGATAATTCTGATGCAGGTTTACCATTAGAGTAAAAATTAGACCTTAATTTGTATAAATTTCTAACAAGAGATCTTGTGTTCTCTTGGAATTTAGTCCCTGGCTCATGTTACTTGTTGTAAAATCCCTTGTTGGCCATGTCTGAAATTACCATCATTGAATCATAGCAGTATAATTTAATTGCTTGATCACACTTTTTCAACACAGAGAAACTTTAGTCTCTAGCGGTACTGAGGTTTTTTTCATGCTCTTTTTAGAAAGCTACAAGCAAATTGCAGTTTATAGGGTGAAAAGGTAAAACAGAAAATTACTGCAAATGCAAATAGCCAAAGAGATTGTAAAAAAAATCAAACAAGGTATGAAAATGACCTTTATGTGTAAAAGTACTATAGAATATCCGATGTTGCATTACTCAAAAGAAACTCAAACAATGAGGTTAAGAAAGATTTACATTTGAAACAAATGGACAAAATGAAGTTGCATATATGTATGTAGTTTTTCTATTCAGCAAGATTACCTGTAAACTCTTAATCTACATTTAGAATACAAGAATTTAAGATTTTTACTACTCATAACACCCAGATTTATTGGTACAGATTTTATTGCACATGACCTAAAGTTGTTCTTTGAAGGAGCTGGGCAGTTTAGAAATGTAACGAATAAATAAAAATAAATAAATTTATGTGACAACTAGAACAAAAGAGGGAAAGAGTAAGGATCAGCAAGAATTACAGTAGTACAGAAGTAAAACCTTGATTTAATGGACTAATAGGGTACCTATTAAAAGAGAAAGTTTATTAAATTTGAATGGAATTTAAAATATTTTACCCATGAGTAAAATAGGAATAAGACTTCATGCACAAATGGTGGATGAGATTTTACAGAAGCACAGACAGATGTTGTCCATTGCACCCGATGTCTGCTAAATCGAAGTCTGTTAAATGGAGTTTACTTTAGGAGCAAGACCTTCTAAAGTAGTCGTCCTCTTCCTTTTCTGAGTTTCAGAGAAAGAGTTCGGTTCCTTGGTCAGTCTTCTTGAATCAAATGTGATGTCTTTTGTTCTTGTTGGTGTGCCCCCAATTCTTGCTATTCACTGCTTGTCTAATTAGAAACAGCAGACAAAAAGTTAAAAGGAGAAGAACAGATAAAATAAAATAAAAGAACTGGAAGTAGGAGCCAAAGAAGAGTTGGGAAGAAAACAAACCTAGGGAGAATCACATTAGAGGCTATGCTGTTTGGCAAACTTGTACAAAAAATCTGCAGCCTTGAACAGTATAGTTAAGACAGCTGGAATGTGAGTGCTTCCGACTCACATGAGGTTGAGGTTCATATTTAACGAAGGCAAATGATGGTTTATTTCTGTTTAAGAAGCCTCAAAGTTTCATGGCAAGTTATCAGGCCCAAGTCCAGATAAAAGAAGATGAGATCCAATCAAATCAGTCTTTATTTGCTTCAATCTAATAAACAGAATCTTGCCAAACTAAAGCTATAATCTTCTAACCTTCTCAATATATGCAATAAGGGGTGTGGTTATCCTGAATCTCTTCCTCTCAGCCCCATCCAACACAGTCTCTTAATTTGGGTCTCCTGGGAAAGCTCTGAGTTGGCAAAATCTTCCCCTTCTGCTATTGCAGGTGCACATTCCATCACACCCACATAGCGATCACCTTTATATGAACAAGGTTTTTAATTTTATATATTTAATTAGGAAGTTCCTCTGTATCATTACAACAAAATTACAGCTACTGTCCGGATGGCATATATGGAACAAGTCAGACTGAGTAAACCTTTCAAAGACATTACTACTGTATATACTGTATATGGGGTGCTATTTCTGCTACATGGCTGCAGAAAGGGAATGAAACCTGGGAAAGAGAGAGAATCAAACTATCAGCTATAAAGTTTGTCACCAATAAAACCAGAAGTTCTGTGTTTCAATGCCACTGTATACAATAAATTGGCAATTCACACCCTGAAAGATAATAGAGAGTTGTGGATATATAGAAATGCTTTTATATCACCAACCTTATAATACGTAGAATATCAACAAATTCAAATTAGGGATGTATAAATTAGTTTCAGGAATTTCTATCAAGCCTAGAATTTTTCTGATGCATGACCATTCATGCTTATTATATGTTTATAATTATATGTGGCAAATTCTTCCAATTTTTTTTTAAATCCCACTCCCCTAATTTTAGGACTTGGATTCATCTAATCAAACTAACACTTACAACGCCAAAAGCATGCATATTAATTGCAGATACTTGATTGACAGTCATGAGTGTGGTTTTGGATAAGAATGCTTGATTCTCTGAATATTTACTCTGAATCTCTTTACTTATAGTCAGGGGTGGGATTCTACCGCTTCTGTCCACTTCTGTGTCTTCTATGTCTGCTGCTGTTTTGGTCCACCTGCCCGCCCGGGCTCTTACCTGACTTTTTTTTCCTGCTTTTTCAACCGCAGCTGCTTTGTGGGACACAGCTGTGGTTGAAAAAGCAGGGGAAAAGGGCTTTTCCAACCATTGCACACTTGCACGCAGCACTGCTCAGCTGTCCAGGCATCTCAGCAGGTCGTAAATTGCACTCGCGCGACTCGCGCATGCGATGCAGAGTGATAGAACCGGTAGTTATACTGGTCGGATCCCATCCCTGCTTATAGTAAAGCCTTCTGAATGCAATCCAAGTTACTCTTAAGCTGGTTCTCAGAAGGTTTTTATCATTATTCAAAGAAATGAAACACTCAGCTGTGAATACGTGAGATGTGATTCTGCCTTTGAGCTCTGGCAGTTCCAACATCTGCTTTGTAAGGCTGATAATGAGAGCTCACACTTACATCACAGACATGGAAAGATTTTAAAAGATGTATAAGATTGTATTTCCAAAGCCGAGAGCTGAACAGACTCTTCTTCTCAGGGACCACCTCGGTTCAATCACAAATTCTTGTCCCATCAGGTCTGGCAGGAGGGGCATACTTGGGTTTTATTAGGCCCCCAAGAAGAGAGCCTTTTCTGTCATCGTCCTTGCCTTTTCAAGCATCACCTCTTGCACATTAAATTGACTCCCAACCCTTCTAGCTTTCTGTATGGCCCTAAAAATGTCATTTTGCAACAGGCACAGGGTTCTGGGAGCATGCTACTGCTTGTGCTATGGCTATATTGATGGATGCTGGACTGCCTCAGCCATGAATATGTAGTATGTTTTTTGAGTTATTTTTATTGTTCTTAAATTGCTGTGTTGTTTTGATGTTTTTATACTGTTTTTTAAGTTATACTGTTTTTTAAATTGTGGGCTGCAGAAAATCATATATTTGAGATGGGAGGCTGTAGAAACTGAAATAATCAACCAACAAACACTGGAGTTGAAGGACAAGTAAAAGAAGTTGGGGGAACTTGGGCTTTTCCACTTTTACCTGTCCCATCAGGTCAACATGGGCAGTCCAGCTGAGGCTTTGGCTACAGAATAAGTGAGCAATGGAGACCTTAGATCAGGGTGGGAAACTATGTCCCCTTCATGACCTGTAGACTTTAACTCTCTGATGCTGGCTCAATAATTCTGGGAATTGATGTCCACAGGTCATAAAGGGGACATAGTTACCCACCCCTACCTTAGACACTAATATTGCAGGATCCCAGAAGCGTATGGCAGCATGAGCCCCTGCTGTCTGGAATGACATTCCCACAAAGATCCATATTGTTCTCACCCTTAATGACTTTCCCAAAATTATTAAAAACCTGGTTGTTTCCCCAAGCATTGGGATAAGAAGATTGTGGTTTGTTGTTGCTGCTTTTTGTTTTTGATACTGAGTTAGCCTTCTAGTCAACTGTGTCTTTTTTAAAGTTTTTTTTTTCTTATTTTATTTGTAAGCCATCTAAAATCATTGAGTTAGATAGCCTCAAAATTGAACAATAAATATGTACTTTTTGATTAGGATTTCCAGGTTGTTTTTTTTAACTAATAGACTTCATGACTGAAAAAACTGTAAAACCCTGAGTGAACTCACAGAAAGTTTTGAAGAACTGGGTTATCTAATGTAAAGAATTTTTCAACCTGATAATTCTCAGGATAAAATACTGAACCCCCCCCACCCCCGAACAATTCTGAGTACAAATGCTTTGCTTTCTTTTTAAATAAATTTATTTCATGCTTAACTAAGAAAAGTAGAGTTAAATTAGAATCACAATTATGGGCATGTTGATGAATTTTTTTTCATTTTCAAATGTGTGTTTTTATTTCGCAGTAGATACAGGATTAAGTTATATATAGATAGGGTGATTTTAGTTTGCATTAATTAGCTGGGTAATATCCCTGTAAAATTAAGAAGCTGGCAATTGATGCATTTTATATTTTAATGAGCACCTACAAGACTTGTGTGTATTTTTCCAAAGCAAAAACAGAATTCATATTTTTAAAATTGTCCATTTTTAAAGACCTGTTGTTATTTGTTATTTTTATTTTTTGATATTTTTGTTGTTTAATGTTTAATGTTAATGTTGCTGTTTAATGACCTGTTGTTATTTTTTTTTCCAGGTATATACATACAAACAGAGATCACTTACACACCAAAAAGTTACACCTATGCTGCCTACAAGCACAGATGGTCTGGAAGATATGGCAGCGCTGATAGATCTCCATGAGGGTGCAATCATGTATAATTTATTCCAGCGATATCAACAAGACAAAATCTATGTAAGTGCCTAGAAGAGCAGAATAAGACATTAATATTTTTCATGAAAGATCATGTTAATCTAGCATTAAGAACATTTCCTTTGTAGGGTATATGATGTAAATATGGTGTAAGGTATATGGCAATTTGGTAGAAATGATTCCTTAATACTGTTGCTTACCCCAATAGATGAACAGCCATTTTAGGCTATTCAGATGGAGACATTTTGTCTAGTCTTATTTCTCAGTCTAGAATGGTGAAATTGTGTTTTGTTTTTTTTTAGTAATATGCTTAAAAATCAGTTCATATTAATGCTAAAAACTAGGATTGTTATGTCAGTGAAAAGCAACAGGTATTTTTTGTTTTTTTGTTTGGTTAGCCTCTACCCTGATATCCCCACTTCAAGAAGATGGAGTATAATTCTTTATTCAAAGATATGACTATAATTCTCAGATAATTCAACTAAAATTCCATTAATTTTGAATAGCACTTCTCCTCATTCAAGGTATTTCTTTCAAGCCCATTTGTACATGATGGTATAATGCATCCTATGTTCAGATACTAGATCAGTACTGTTCTTGTTATTTGATGGTTAGATTTCCATAAACAATATTTGGATGCTATTCTGATATGTACTGTATTTTTCGCTTCATAAGACGCACTCCTCCCCCAAAAAGTGGGTGGAAATGTCTGTGCATCGGTGCTGGTCTTTTGGTAAATAGCAGCTGGGTCAGAACAGCAGGGTCCTTTTACAGTGCTGAATCCCACCTCTTCTGTCTTTGTCATTGCCCACCTCTTCTGTCTCTTTTCCGCAGAGCAGGAGTCAATAGGCAGAGCTGGCACATGAGAGGACACCTATCTCTGGTCTTCTCAGGCTCTGCCTGATTTCCCCCCCCTTGTTTTCCTCTTCTAAACCTAGGTGTGTCTTATGGTCAGATGTGTCTTATAGTACGAAAAATACGGTAATTCCTAGGCTTGAAAATATTAGATTTCCATAGACAATATTTGGATGCTACTCTGAAATAACAATAGCACTTAGACATATATACTGCTTTATAGTGCTTTATAGCCCTCCCTAAGCAGTTTACAGAGTCAGCATATTGCCCCCAAATATAAATTGTTAAGACTGTTATTTGAGATGCTTCATCTAAAGTAAAGAAAGTTGTCTACAACATAAGGTAAAGACTGTAATTTTTTTGGCATTCAAAAGCCTGGTTCCAAAATTAGATGTGCTAGCAGTATGGTGGTTACGTGGCTTGCTTTATCAAAGACAGTATGTCTGAAAAGTACTGTAGAAGTTACTCTTTCATGAGATAGTTGCACTTTACACAGAAAATTTTGGGGGAAAGAGAACTTAAAACCACATAAGTACATATACGACATAGTTAAAAGGCAAGGGTAGTCTAATTATGGTGTTAAGAATTGGCTCAGAATGTATTTGTTTCCCACAGATTGCAGACTGTCAGCTGGTTTGGATAAATACAAGCTGAAATGAGGTCAAAACAGCATGAAAGAAAGTGATTGAAACAAGTTTATGCTAGAGCTAAAAATAAAAATGATTAATAAATTTTGGAAATGAATCCTCTGTGATTCAAGCCAAAAGCATTGCCTTTTAGCACATATATTATTTTAGGCATAACCAAGAGGTTAATGAAGGTTTTACCACATGGAACAGTTTTATCAATGATGAATTTTATCTCATTACTATTGTGATGAAAGAGTTCCTCCTATTTGTGATAATTGATTTCTTTTGTAGAGGTAATAATTTTAAGATAGCTTTGTTTTTAATGTGTGCCTACAGGTGAAACTCGAAAAATTAGAATATCGTGCAAAAGTTCATTTATTTCAGTAATGCAACTTAAAAGGTGAAACTAATATATGAGATAGACTCATTACATGCAAAGCAAGATAGTTCAAGCGGTGATTTGTCATAATTGAGATGATTATGACTTACAGCTCATGAAAACCCCAAACCCACAATCTCAGAAAATTAGAATATTGTGAAAAGGTTCAATATTCTAGGCTCAAAGTGTCCCACTCTAATCAGCTAATTAAGCCATAACACCTGCGAAGGGTTCCTGAGCCTTTAAATGGTGTCTCAGTGTGGTTCAGTAGGAATCACAATCATGGGAAAGACCGCTGACCTGATAGTTGTGCAGAAAACCATCATTGACACCCTGCATAAGGAGGGAAAGCCTCAAAAGGTAATTGCAAAAGAAGTTGGATGTTACCAAACTTTCGCATGATATTCTAATTTTTGAGTTTCACCTGTAGTTCTCAATGCCTAAAAGAAAAATAGAGTAGAGCATTTAAAGTATGATTATAAGCAGACAATTGACCAAATGCTGCCACAGTTTGCATTTTGAATGAGATTTTTCCTATATACTATTTGTTTTGTCTAGTGGATATTCCTGAAGGAAAACTCAGGAAATAGGCAGAGAACCTAAGAAAAGATTTTAAGAGATATCAAGGCCTAAGTGTGATAGTAAAGGGATAGTTAAGAGAAGAAGAGAGAGAGAAAAAGAAAGTGACCTAGATCAAAGGAAGAACAAATGGTAAACAATGCCCATTTTATTTCTCTATACATTCCTACTTTTTATGGCTGTTTTGTCCATTGCACTAATTTTATTTAAACATTCTAGGTAGTACTGTATTTGGATGATTTGTTTTATATCCCAAAACTAATGAAACTTGTTTTAGTATAGCATGTTTAGAATAATATATAGAACAGTTATCATCAACTTTAATTGGATCTCCATTTGCTTTATATCTTCTTTTTGGTTCAATACACTCTTATAATAACACTTGATCCATCTAATTATGGAATGCTTTTCAGTCTAGTTTTATTCTCAAGAGAGATCTTTCAGGGATCTAATGACTATATATTAATGATAAACGAAAGAATGAATTGTTTTGTTCTCTTTTGGCTTCTAGCCAAATGCAAAAAAAGCATTTTAGACATTCCGACCTTTGTTATCTTAATCTGCTAAATTTTGTTTTAGAAGTATTCATATTCTAGATACTGGTTTTGGCATACTAATTCTGATTTACAAATGAGCTTAAATCCATTTAATATTTTGGAAGCCATAATTAAATGTGGATGATGGGTGATTTACCTATGACAAAAGTAGAGGCTAGTCATCTCTCAGATATTCTGATCTTCCAAGGAATGAGAAACCACCAGGCATATATAGTGATTTTAGTCTATACTCATTAGAAACTACTATGGGTTTTTCTCCTGGTTGTTTCTACTTTTTCTTTAGATCAAGGTAATTTTGCAGATATAAATGATCAAGGGGTTTAAATATATGACCTGTATCCTTATTTCCCATGACTTCATTTAAAATCTTATGTCTGTATGTGTGCCTCTGTGTGCGTGCATGTATGTTTCGTTTTAGTTTTTGCTATAAAAATACAGACCTGAAGATAGTGCATTCTCTGGCTGCAAGAGGTGCCCATTCTTTCATTTCTCAGTTTTTAGATCTGAAAGTATCACAAACAAAAAATGGAAATAACTTAATAAAATACATGCAGAGCAGAAAATAAGTAAGATGAGTCTAGCTCAGCTTTCTCCAAACTTTCCAGCTTTGTGGACCAGTAGGGATATTTGCTATTTAGTTGACTGTCATATATTTGCAGGTGTGTGTGCTGCATTTCACCAAAATATTCAAATAAATTATAAAGACACTTTCTTGAAATCCATTCTGTGTTTCCTGTGAAAGGAGATTTTTTTTCTTGAACAGTATTAATTTAATTTGTTTATAGAGGAATATTTTTAATAGGTTGCACCTGCCATTTGCATAGCATCTTGTTATGAGATCACAATACACGATTAAATGATTGGGGAGATTTCTATAACAAATGATGTAACTACTATAGGTAGAAGCTTCTATAAACATATAATCATATGTTAAACTATTGCTTTTAAGAAAAAATGTTTGACCTCAAACACTTAACGTATAATTTAGGGAGAGAATTGGACTCTATCCCTTACAAATTAGGTAAACAAATTAAGCATAAGGAATACTGAGTGTTGGTAAATCAAAGATACTTTGCATGCATGCAACCATAGATTATGACTCACTGTAGGATACAAATGAAGAAACAGCCTATGAAGTGTTGGGCTGCCTTACATATTTTTTGTACTAACTTGTGTTCAGTGGCTGACCTACTTGGCTCACAAAAAAAATGAGCTTGCAAAATGGAAAGCAACAGAGTGAGACAAAGTCAAACATACTGTGTCTCAGATTACAATGTAATTTGTTTTATCAGTAACGATTGGGTCAAATTGCTAAAGATGGACCTTCTGTTCTCTGTATTCAGACACAGATTGCAGAAACTTAGAAACAAGACGTTACTTTGAATTCCTATGCTATTCTGTGGGTTCCCTAAAGGAATCTGGCTGACCACTACTTTTATTTTTACATTAAAAAGCACACTCTTCAACAACACCATATAATAAACTGCCTTTGAAATTCCACATTTGGCATGTTGCTTCTTTATGTTTGCATGTGTGTGTCTAGGCACATACTTTTCCAAAACACAAACTAGACTTGGGTATGTTGAATTAGTTGAATGGTACTTTGGGTTGCGGCCAAAATCCTGAACCGGATGGACCTTTCTTTACATCCACTGGGTATTTTTGAAAAATGTTTTTTAATGATATGTATCTTTGCCAACATTAAAAAAAAGTTTTTAGTGATTCAAAGTTATAGCCTCAGTACCTTTTGAATATGTTTGGCATTTAAGAGGTTTTGAGAGTTTGTCTAAAACAAATGTTCTACAGAATTTGAAAAGTGAGGTAACTAAAGTTACATGAAGGGTCTGTAAGAAACAAAATGTAGTTAAACTGTTTGTGGTTTAATATTTGCAAACGTTCAGTTTAATACATTTCTTAATGTTTAATTCAATGAGCTAAATGGAATCATGTAGCTAAACATTTTATTTATTACAATACAATTTTGATTCTTTGGACTTCCATTCAATTATCCTCCCATGCAAATGAATAAACTTTAGATGCATGAAATCACTTATTATGGTATCAAGATTTGGTGGGCATTTTCCTCCCACAGATACACAAGACAACAGATAATTGGACCACAGATAACAAGGACTGCCTGTATCTAGATACTGACATTTTCCCATTTATTTTTAATTTAAATATTTAAGTTTAAAAAAAAAACAATTTTTGGACAGGGAGCCTGAGAAGAATCAATGAAGATGTTCACAGGCCTACCAGTGCCCACATCTTGCCTTTCCCTGCCCTTAGGCTTCTGCTGGAAAACATCCCAGAATAAGTTCTGGATTGTGCCTCACATCTTCTACTGCATTTTATAATCCTAGGCTGCCATTTTACCATATTTAACTTAAGAGTGAGCCTTATTCAGTGAAAACAAGTTCTATATAGAATTGCTTTTACCAAACAATGTTAATTGTTTGTCTTTTTCAGTTGATGAAATCAAATTATCACCAGCCTTTGGGGATTTCCCCCCTTCAGAGTTGGGGATTTTCTCTGCTTGTATATGCTAGGCCTTGTCAAGTCACCAAAATATCCCTCATTTTTTTTCTTTCAGACTTACATTGGTTCCATTGTTGCCTCAGTTAACCCCTATAAGACTATCCCAGGTCTTTATGATCAGAGCACAATAGAACACTACAGCCGTCATCACCTGGGAGAGATTTCACCTCATATTTTTGCTATTGCTAATGAATGCTATCGCTGCCTATGGAAACGTCATGACAACCAGTGTGTTCTCATCAGGTATTTTGAATAATGTATGAATTACTCCAGCTTTTGTTGCTGAATTGTGATTATATATGGAATTCTGCATTGTTGAATATGCTTAGTTCTTTTCTATAAGATCTCATTGAAAATGAAATATGTGAAGGTATAGCTTCATTACAGGATCCCAATCTCTTCTTGAAGACAAACATCTTCATATTTAATATATGTCATGTGGTCATCCAATAAAAACTATGTTTCTAGTTTTATATAGTTTATTTGGGTCAATTAACTTAGACTTCATTTCACTTTGAACACTTTGATTTTCTTATTGAGTCATGTCATGCTGTGCAGAAGATTAATTTGTCAACACTATTCATGAATAAGTACATTGATCAAAGAAAGACCTTTAAAAACCTCATAAATAACAGCAGCAGTAATAAGGAAAATTCTTGAATGTACTGGTTGGTTTAATCTCCTTAATTCAGCTTGCTTATTTATTTTCTCTATTGTTTAACCTAACCTACACTTTTATTTAATGAGGATAAAATAGTATGTCACTAGATCCTAATGTTCAGTGGTTTTCTGAGGTATGACATTTCAGTTATTGTATTAATGAAATGTTGCACTTCAGTTCCCTACATGTGCTAGGACACATGAAAGATCTTTATCTACAATCACTCATACTAGTAGCATGTCATGGATAGGGCTTTGGGAGAGCGGTTGATAGGGACAGTTGCCTTGGACTCCATGCTTTGAAGGGGTCTCATCTAAAAGAAGATTAATCAATTACAGTCCCAATAATTATTTCAGTGTTCTGGGTCTCCATCAGTACAGATCTTAGATTTCAGTAAACAAACTCAGTAGAGAATTGCATAGGATGCAGGAAGAAAAATGATCATTGAATGAATACATATTAGCTTTTGAAGTTGGGGTATCTGGGGAAAACAAAAAAACCAAGAAGTGTGAATCTCCCACTTCTCCCACGAGCTGCGAAGAGCATCCAGTAGTGGGAGGTGCTTCAGTCTCTGCTTATCTAGGCTGGGCTTAATTTGCGGAACGCTCCTTCTCCTCCATGGGACTCCTCCCCAGTGTTCCCCAGTTTGGCTCAGCCTCGTAGGCAGTGCTTCTCGTTAATCCTTGACCGAAACAGGAGAATTCCCTTTAAGGTTTGCAGATAGTCAATTTTTCCTTTCTTACCGACGTTGCCCTTGCCATCTGGCCGTTGGGGATCGCATTATCACAAAGTGCTCCTTGCGCTCCTAAGCGCATGGAGGCTTTGATTTCATTTCGCCCCCCCCCAACCGCTAGCCCTACCCTTGCCATTACGATCGCTGAGCCTCTTTATCATTTAAACGGCGAGGCTTTTTTTCTCTCGCTCTCTCCTCAGTCGTATCGCAGTTTCTTTTCCCCACCAAGAATGCCGTTTAGGGGTGGAGGTGTAATTGCCTCGTTATTTCACCCCACCATGCCGGTTTAGCCCTAAGGGAAGGCTGTTGGAGCTTATCTCTTTTTCTCGGCTGGAGATTGCTGCTGGCGCGTGCGCCACAAATAACGTCCGCTCGCCTTTTTTTTTTTTTTTACTATAAAGGGACCGCGTGGCCGCATTGAGTGCTAATAGACTGTGTGAGGTAATCCTTATTCCGGATTGAAGAGGTTTTTTACACAAAATACCCCGAGGAATCATTACAACCTCATTTCCAACATATTTGAGGCTTTTGTTAATTTGTGTTGTTGGCTCAATCCTCAGAGTTCTCCCTATCCAGCGGCACAACAACGAGCACCTAGGCCAGCGTCCGCCTGTGCAGGGAAGCTGTTGAAGGCCTGTGAGTGATTATTTGGCCTGCTAGGCATTCTCAATTGGGCTGATTGGGACATCCAAATGTGATATATATTTGCATACCCATACGCTCTGATAATATTAATCATACCAATATAATAATACTGGCAATTTCATAACAATAATAAATTATTTGTTGAGATACAACTCAATTTTGAAGCAGATATCCATATTTAAAACAAAAAACGGGGGATTTCATTTCAGGGCACCCTGTCCATTATTGGCCAGGTCCCTGGGCGTGCCAACCGCCTACACAATATAGCATTAAATAATGAGTGTACTGGTCCTTCCACAATCAGAATGGGAGGGAGGGGGTAGTGGTTCACACTCCTCAACTTCAAGGGGCAAGTCCAAATCTCAACACAATCCTAAGCAAAAAAAAAAAAGGGGGACTTCTAAGGCATCAGAAAAGGATGCCAACAGGCGCCACAAGGCACTGGAAAAACAAATAGATAAGTGCACACGGGAGGCACACGGGAGGGCCTCTCAAGCCTTCTCACCCCACAGTCCAGAGCCGTCCTCCTCTTTCCTCCCTCCTACCCCCCTAGATCTCTCCCTCTCATCCAGGTGCAGCATGGCTCCCCTGAATCAACAGGCCCAGTCAGCTCAATTACCAACCATGCAAAAAATACCCGAAGTGACATTAACACCAACGGCTGCCGGTCTTCGACAGGAACAATCTCTTCCAGACGATGTGAGAATGAAGACCTGGATGGAGATGGCTATCTGTCAGGGAATCGCAGCAGGCCTGCAACATGCGGTTCCGACCAGGGATCATCCCGCACCCGCTGAGTATGATTCGCAATCAGTTCAGACATTGGCCAGGTCAGAGCTACACTATACCCAGGTACAGTGTCAAGGGGATATTCTCCTACAGGAGCCGCAGGAGGAGGAGGCGGAAGAGGTGGAACACATTGAGCACATGGACCAGAGTGAATCAGAATCAATGTATGATACTGACCCGGCCATATCGGAAGCAGACCCCCTTAGGGGGATTTCTGAGATGAGGGTCTCGTTCCCGACCAATCTGTATTTACAGGGTTGTTCCGGCCACAACTTTTCAAATCTCTATTGTTCAAGGCCAAAAATACTGCGCGACTGGACAAGCCGGCCCCTTCTACCACTCCAGCTCAGACGAGGGACCAGAGGATCTCATTTTCACCCAACCTGTAGTTGAGGCAGACGTGACTCCAGTCCCTCACATGTTTGCAGACCTGGTACAGAAACAGTGGGCTTCTGCAGCAGTGTACCCAGCCCCCACTGGTTACGACAGGAAATTCTTTAATTTGGCCCCAGATTTTTAAAAATTGTTGAATACTCCTGAGGTAGATGAACACATTGTGAGATTATCATCCTCGTCCTCCATTCCCAGTGAAGCGCTGGAGGCATTAAAGCTGGAGGACAAACAGGCCAAACTAGCCCTACACAGGGCCCATCAGTCTGATGCGTGGGCCATCAGAGCGGCCTTGGCCACTTCCTTCTTTACCCGTTCTTCCCTTAGATGTCTCCGGCTATTACGGGAGCATGTCCCCAATTCCAACACTAGAGCACATCAAGACATTGCAAAGCTTATAGCAGCTGCCGAATTCTCAGCTGACACAACCTTTCATGCAGTTAAGTTTTCAGCCAGAGCCATCACTTCTCATGTCACAGCGCGACGCTTGCTATGGTTAAAGAATTGGCAAGCGGATATTAAACATAAATGCAAGCTCGCTTCGTCTCCTCTAGTGGGAGACAGACTGTTTGGCCCTTCCCTTGATCCGCTACTCATCGAGACTCGAAACAAAAAGAAAAATTTACCCTCCCTTTTTTGGAAGCCAGACCCTAGAAACCCTCAGTCCTTTTGGAGGGGATCCTTTCAGCCCTTTTATCAGGGACTGTTCTCAGCCAAATACCAGAGACCCCCACCTTTCCGACCAGGGCAACAGCCAGAGAGGTCAGACTTTGGGGATAAGAACAGAAGGGGTGGCCAACCCAAGAAATCCTTCCGAGGAGCAGAAAATAGATTTTTCCGGCGTCCAAGATAACCCCATGGACCCAGCTCACATTGGCGGCCACCTTAAATTATTCGCGGACCAATGGGACTCCTCAACGTCTGATTCCTGGGTCAGAGACACGATCAGATTCGGCCTCGCACTGGAGTTTCAGTCCGCTCCCCCAAACTTCTTTATGTCATGCCTTCTTTCCAGAGATCCGGTTAAACGAAATCTTATGGAAACAGCTATTCAGCACCTACTAGACATACGAGCCATCCAACCAGTAGCTACCGACCAACCAGGGCAAGGTTTCTATTCACATCTTTTCGTTGTTCCCAAAAGTTCAGGGGGGTGGAGAGTAATCTTGGATTTGAAACGCCTTTTAGTAGCCTTTTCAATTTTTAGTATATTGCAAATTTAAAATGCATACCCTACAATCTATCTTACTTGGTATCAGAAAAGGCGACGTCTTTACATCTATAGATCTGACGGAGGCGTACTTACATATTCCAATTTGGCCTTCCCACTATAAATTTTTATGATTCTGTTATAATAATCTCCATTTTGAATATGTGGCTCTTCCCGTCAGACTAGCCTCTGCCCCCAGGACCTTCACAAAGGTTCTCGCAGCCCTCGCTGCTCATCTCCGGGGTGTCCCCATACGACTGCAGTGTTACCTCGATGATATCTTAATTTTGTCATCTTCTGTTCATCAATCAGTCATAGATACTCAGACCACATTACACTCCCTACAACAACATGGGTTCTCAATAAATTGGAAAAAGAATCATTTAACACCTTCGACTCGATTAATCCATCTGGGGGCAGTCATAGATACAGTGGAAGGCAAAGTTTTCCTGTCACCAGATAGACAAAACAGCATTCATCAATTAGTTAAGGAGGTCAGGGTTCATAGGAGGGTGTCCCTAGCTGATCTATCAAAATTGCTAGGCAAGATGATCTCACGTATATCTATTATTTCTTGGGCCCGGCTCCACACTAGATCCCTCCAGTGGTTCCTGCTCCCATACCAGCGATCAGGCCGAAGCAACTCCAAATACAAGGTCAAAGTTCCATCACAGGTCCTCGTATCTCTCCTCTGGTGGACCAGACCAGTCATAAACAAAGGTTGCCTCTTCAAAGAGCCCCACAGACTTACCATCACCACCGATGCCAACCTGATTGGTTGGGGAGCTCACTTTCAATTGCTCACAGCCCAAGGCTGCTGGTCCTCCATAGAATGATCGCGCAGCATAAACTGGCTGGAGCTTTGAGCAGTACACCTGGCTCTCCGCAGCTTCCTTCCACAGGTACGCAACCAACACATTAATATTGACTGACAACGTAACCACGAAAGCTCACATAAACAAACGGAGGAACTCAGTCGAAACACCTCATGCAAGAAGCGAAGTGATTGTGTCATTGGGCAGAGAGCAACCTGATTTCCATCAGAGCAGAACACATTTCAGGACTGTCGAATACACAGGCAGATTGGCTAAGCAGGGCCACGATAGATCCATCAGAGTGGCGCCTCCATCCGACCCTCTTTCAAGAGGTGGCCAGGACATTTGGGCAGCCAGTAGTAGACCTGTTCGCTTCCCCCCTCAACGCTAGCTCCCAAGATTTCTTTCCAGATACCCCTCACATGGAGCAGAGAATTTCAATTCACTCTATTGCCATTGGCCCCTGGGGCTTCTGTACGCATTCCCGTCACTTCCACTGATCCCCAAGGTCATCCAGAAACTGCTCGACGAGAGAGCAGAACTGCTTCTGGTAGCTCCCTACTGGCCCAGACGGTAGTGGTGTGCAGACCTCCGCAATCTATCTGTATCAACACCATGGAGAATTCTGCCAGACAGGGTCTTGTTAACCCAAGGACCCCTTCAACATCCGGACCCTCAATGGTTGCACCTGACCATCTGGAGGTTGAGCGGAGTCGTCTGAAGAGCGAAAAGTTTTCCAACAGAGTTATCGCCACCATCCAATCTGACAGACGCCCCTCAACAACTCGCATCTACAATGCCACGTGGTCCAGTTTCTGTAAATGGTGTACCAAGTCTCAAATTGATCCCATTTCTCCATCTGTGGCTCAGATGCTAGAGTTCTTACAAGAGGGGCTTGACAGGGGATTAGCACCTAATACGTTGAAAAGACAAGTGGCGGGCTTGTCGTCAATTGTCACTTATGAAGGTCTCCTATCTCTTTCCCATCATCCACGCATACAGTGTTTCCTTCAAGGAGTCACAAACTTACGCCCGCCAACGGTTCACCATTATCCCACTTGGGACCTTAACAATGTCCTTCTTGCACTTACTAAGTGCCCTTTCGAGCCTTTGCAATTTTCAAGTCTTCAATTTCTGACGTATAAAGTAGTTTTTCTTGTAGCGATCACTTCCGCTCATCGTATTTCGGAACTGGCAGCCTTGTCGATAAGACAAGATCTTTGCGTCTTCCATTCCGACAGGGTTGTCCTTCGTCCCGATCCTACGTTCATACCCAAAGTTAATTCAGCCTTTCACAGGGCACAAGAACTGATACTTCCTAATTTTTGTCCCAGGCCATCCCAAGGGCTAGGACAACAATGGCATCGGCTGGACGTGAGGTGAGCGTTACGAATATATATTCACTGCACAGCCTCTTTTAGAAAAACGGAGGCTTTATTTGTGTCTTTTCAGCCCAACAATCAGGGATGCAAGGTCTCATCCTCCACAATAGGCTGTTGGCTACAGGCCGCAATAGCGAAAACGTATCAGACTTCAGGTGCCCAGGGGCATAACAGCTCATTCAACAAGGAGCGCCGCAACATCGGCAGCATGGGCCACGCAGGCACAAAACACTGGCATCTGTCGTGCCGCAACCTGAGCCGCTCCATCGCCTTTCATTAGGCATTATAAAATAGATGTGTATGCATCAGCCGAGGCCTCCTTTGGCAGAAGGGTTCTGCAACGGGTCCACAGGGACCAGGAGGGGATTCCAGGCCAGACGGAGTCCCTCCTGTAGGACAGACCAAGCTTTGGTATGTCCCACTACTGGATGCTCTGAGCAGCTTGTGGGAGAAAGGGCGTTGGTACTTACCTGACACGCCCGTTCTCCTTGAGCTGCGAAGAGCATCCAGCCCCACCCTCTTCCGTCTGGTGGGATCCTGTTTCGGCCAACGAATTTTTACAGTATTAAGGGCGAGGGTGTTTGTTTCTCTCATCTTCGCCAAAACTGGGGAACTGTGGGGAGGAGTCCCGTGGAGGAGGAGGAGGAGCGTTCCTCAAATTAAGCCCAGCCTAGATAAACAGAGACTGAAGCACCTCCCACTACTGGATGCTCTTCGCAGCTCAAGGAGAACGGGTGTGTCAGGTAAGTACCAACACCCTTTCTCTGTATGTGAATGCCACATGAACCTATATATAAAAGATTGGAGCTTTGATAGTGTGGTTGTACCCATCGTGGTTTTTGAGCTCCTTCTTCTGTAGCGTCCTTGCCTCAAAGTCTTAACATATCTTCTTTGATAGGATTACTTGGGAGGCAATGATAGCTCCAGGATCTCATTTGTATCATTATTCGTAGTAATGTTTCAAATGAGTTAAATTGGATATGTTTAAGTGTTTGTACGTTTAAAATGCTATACCGCTTTTTACTGTTTTTCCAGGGCAGCTTATAATAAACATATTCAAATGCCTGTGGGGGATGAAAAGAATCTCAACTGGTTCTGAAAAGGCAATTCAGTTGCCCTGAGGGGGTGGGGTGGGGAGGCAATTCCAAAGCTGGGAGATTTTCATGAGAAAGGCCACCTCCTGAGTAGACACTGAGCAAGATAACCCAAAGTGATATCACCTGTCTTCTGTCTATCACATTTAAATATCATTCATCTTACTATCCAAATACAGGTACAGGTACAAAACCCTAAGAAGACTTGTTCCCTTTAGACCAGGGGTGTCCAACCTTGGCAACTTTAAGAGTTGTGGACTTCAACTCCCAGAATTCCTCAGCCAGCTTTGCTGGCTGAGGAATTCTGGGAGTTGAAGTCCACAAGTCTTAAAGTTGTCAAGGTTGGACACCCCTGCTTTAGATAATATAGTCCCAAACTGTAAAAGCTTTTAAAGCAACTTGAGCTATTACTAGAAACTTTCTAGTTTTTTTTATCTTAATTTTACCATCCCTATCATATATATTCAACTGTACCTCTCATCACTATTAGCAGCTCGGCCTGTTCTTTATAAAGATTGATTTTCAAAAACTGCTGTGAATTGGGATGAAAAGGCACCCATCTGTTGATGATAGCTAGAGATTAAATGCTAATTGTTATGGTTTTTATTTTTTAATGACTGATTTAAATGTAGGCAGGTTGCTGCAGAGTATAGGCAAAAGCAGAAGACTGATGTTGTTGCCAGAGAAAGTTGGGTGTGTTGAAACTGTCAAATGCATCTTTCCAGAGAGAGCAGAAAATCTTTTCAACGGTAGCCCAATTTTTGGCACCAGCTAATAAAACCTGCCATGTTGTCTTATTAGTGAATTTTTTTATTCTACATTCAGTAGGGACTGTATATCATGATTGTTTTCTTTAGGTTCAGGGCAAACAATAAAGTTGATTGAGTATGTACTGCATTCTTAGCTGTCACACATCTGAACTGGTATTGCCAGTGTTATTGATTGACTCCATTTCTGACTGAGCCAATTGCTGCTACAGCTAGAAAGAATCACTACCTCAATTGTCTACAATGTTTTGAACCCATTTTACAAAAGATTTTGAAAGCTTAGGAACAAAAAAAAAAAGCTTGGTATGGCTTGCAAATTAGTGGATAAAAGGCTTTTGGGCAGAAATTTGTTCTAGGGGCTATGACTTTTCTAGGCTATTTAAAAATGAAAGAGATAATAAAACAGTGATTTGAAGACGTTGATGTTCAAATTTTGCAGGACTTGTTTCCAAACAGAAATATAATATCTGATCCTGATCAGGGTTACATAGCACACTGGCTATTTTATAGCTACAAATGAGGAGTTTCTGTTTAATATCATTTATTCTATGCCATGATGTTATTGGTTGTTGTACTATACCTGCTCTCCAGAGTTGCAGTTACAATAAATTAATTGGTTGGTTGGTTGATTATAGTTATACAGTAT